AGTCCTGCGATTGGGAAAACCGCCGCTTCAGAAACGCGAAAACGCTTCCCCGTCGTGGATATACACTTGCGAGCGCGCGCGGTATCCCGCGGTGCGAAACGGGGCGCGTCCAAAGACGCGTTTCCTGTCATTCACTCACCGCGGAAAATGGATTTGAATAACAACAGGCGTAGGCTGCTCACCCCGCGGTATTAATTTGCTCTGACAAGCCGTGAGAATGATGCGTATTGCTACATTCGAATCGATTATTCGATACTGGCGAAAGGCTTTTAATTGCGAAAAGCATCCCATTTCGTATCGTGGAAATGTGCGGGAAGAGGAAATACAGATGACATTTTTATCGTACACTTTTATTCTGATACACAGTAAATATACAAGGAACGTCATTGACATATAATATTTTTATAATTTTCGAACAAGTTGAAATTACATGTCGCTGGCTCATGTAAGATCTGCGAGTACTTAACTTGAGAATATATTTTCGTAGTAAGTTATCATTTACAACTTTCATGTTACTTGCTCTATATCATTATGGCCGGTCGCGAGATTTTTTATCAGCCGGACGGCATCGCGAGAGCGCACTAATTAATTCCTACGAGTGGGTTGATGGACGCCGGTCCGGCGTACAAGGACGAGTCGCATCGATCCAGCCGAACGATTAATACATCCCGTTGCGCGCGCGGCGCGAGGTGCGCAGGAGGTCGACGGACCGTTTAATCGCCGATAGTTCTCTCCGGGAAAGAAAATGGCCGAGGTGGTAATCGCTACCTGCGGAAGCCCGGCGATCGATGCCTGATAGGATACCAATATAATGCACCATCCATCGGGACGTTTCGACGAGCGTTCGCTCCGTCGTTCGTTCTCGAATAATCTCGCGGAGCGGATATCTAAACGAGAAGCTCGGAGCGCAGCCTCCGGGCGGCGCGTACGGATACGTACGCACATATAATAAACCCGACGTGTGTGGAAGTGGAAGTGCTCTTTCTCTCCCGAGTGATATATATCGGACGCGATATATCGTCCTTGATGGTACACCTCGAAGCCGGGACGAACTACTACTCGTTGCGCCGCTACGCACTTCGCAGTCGGAGCAGCGTCTTGCCTTCGCGAAACAATATGATGGTTAACGTAACAAGCTTTCATCTCGGCTCCGTACGTTAGGTATCCCACTGCGGCACGGGATTCCGAACATGTCCGGACACCTAAGGCGACGCTTCCAGAATAATCTCCGGGATAATACGTTCCTTGCTCTGACGGTGTTGTAGGATTCCCCCGGAGCGTTGCGTAATTATTGTTCATTTAGATGGATGAATAGGATCCGACTTTTCAACAATAAAAGTCAGAAACGGCCCGAGACTTTCCATTAGGGCCGTTTATCCGACTATTAGTGTCCTGAGAAATTATGAATGTTTTCGCGTGATACGTCGGCCGCTAGAAAATAAGAGCGCGGACAACGTGGCGATGGTTTGCGATTCGTTTGAGAAAGTCCAGCGCGAAATATAAACGAAAGTTATCGCATAGCTAATTCAGCAAGGCTTTGATACGATCGCTTATGGCGCGGTAAGCTCCAAGAACCAACGTAAGATAGAAAACGTATATATTCGCGCGACTCAACGCGATGCTGTTTAAACGACTGGGTACTTTACCTTCGTGAAATGATACAGAGATACTAACGAGCGCTATTTGTAAATATAATGAATTTTTCTCTCACTGTCTTTGGAAGCGAACGTTTAATGAGAATCGCGAAAAGACCCGGCAAAGTAAAATAGGTTCGCGCTATCCGAGAAGAGCCGATGATAGCGTTTTACGAGCGATCCCTGAAGAACTATGGGATACAAGCAAGCGAGATGTTCGCGTCTTGTTTCACGTTGACGTAGTGTCCACCTAGACTGCTATACGAGCCCCGACCGATCACAGACGCGAAGAAAGACGTAGCATTGATAGCTGGACATTGAACGACGTGCTTGGAAGAAGCTTCGTGGGACAATCTACCGCGTCAAGTTCTATCAATGATCTCGGGAAGCGCCTGGAATTCAATGGCTGTTCTTCCGCTCTGTCTCGTAAGTGGGCCCAAATATGGGACGCAGGCAGAGAGCATCCCGATTAACCGTAATCGGTAGTCGAAGCACGCGGAAAAGACGGCGCTACGGCTGTCCCCAATAATAATGTTAGCTGAATGTTTCCTCGCACTAAACAATGGAAAATAATGGTGCGCTTCTCTCTCGTCTCGTCCTCGATCTCTATTATGGTTTTTGACGGGCTCGTGCAATCCACCCGGTATCCCCTCTGTTCTCAATCGCCGATCACGTAATTTTCTCGCCAACTTCTCCCGCCGCGATTTCTTACTTCATCTATTTCGTGTCTCGGATTTCATTCAGAGAGCAGTACGTGTCTTCTCGGCGTTTTGAACCGTTGTTTACGTTAGATATCTTATTTTTGAATTGGAGAAGATTTTATTTGTCGCTCGAAACGCAAACTCCCTTCGTGCTCCGCTTTTATCCTCGACGGTGATCGTCGGGCTGTGCATCTCGCGAGAATCCTCCGGGACTCTTATCCTACCCCTTCCTCTCGTTTCCATACTCATCTCGTCGCCATCGTTCTGCGATGCGAGAAAATCATCTCGGATTTTTCTCGGGCGGAATCACCGCACCGACACTGATCGTCGCGACAGGTTACACCGGTAGCGGCCAAGTCAGCTCTCTTCCCGAGGACCCCGTTGATTCCTACTCCTGCGTTCCACCACTATCACCGGTCACCACCACGGCAACCACCACCACCAGCACCACCACCACAACCACTACCACCACCGCCGCCGCCGTCGTCGCGGCCGCGGCCGCCAGCATCACCACCTTCGTTCATCCACCACCATTTACTCCGGCTACCACCTCCTTGGCGAGGCACTCGCCATGTGACTGACTCCCCTTCTCCGTTGACGAGCGGTGGGCCTGCCTACCTGCCGCCCGTTGCCCCGCTCCCATTACGACGCGGACTCTCGCGGCAGGTGCACCAACCTAAGTGCCACTCCGCTTACTTGTGTGTGTGTGCCTACCAAGGCAGAGCAGTGTGTCCGGTGGTCAGGTTCTTCCCTCTC